ATAATGAAATTATATAATGATTAACATATAAATGATATATTAAAAAAAGAGTGGGAAATTTATTTACTTTTAATTTGGTTGAAGTAATTATCTTTTAATCATATCTCACCACGTAATGCGTGCATAAACCATTATATATATGTATATATAACAATGGTTGAAATTTTACTCAGTTTGAATTTGTGAATTTCAACTTATGATCTCCCTATAAACTAGAATTAAGAAAACTTTTTACGTGTTAACGAGGATTATCATATCATAGAACATCATGTTAATAATTTCATTTTCTACCATTTCAAATACCTTTCGTGCATGTTATGTAGGTGATTATATTTTAATTACTTATATATTATATATACATTTCATAGGACTCGCATCTATTATTATACACAATTTAAAATCATTTAAATTTTTATTTAATATCACTAGCCAAATATGCACTAAAATGTGTTTTTACAAATAGTGACGGAGGGAGGTAGAAGCATGCTTGCCCCCACGGAAATTTGAGAAAAAAAAATTATATGGTTATATTTTGCTAATTTTTAAGGTAAATTGTAATTGGGGTCCCAAGCCTTTGAAGATTGTCACGGTGGAGGTCCCAAAACTTTTAGTTCTAGTATCCTTGAAATTCCTTCCAGAGCATGTTGAACTCTTTTTATGAATTCTGTCATTTTACTAATTCGTACTAAATAACGAGATAATGAATCCCTTCTTCTTGCCATTAAACCTCCTAGTTAAGGACCTGTTTGTGGCCCTTTAATTTCAAAATTTGGAGTATGGAATAGTGATTAATGTTGAAATGTATGATTAAAAAAGAAAGAAAAGTGTTTGATATATGTGTATATTATTTTAATGGAGAATGTGATTAAAAATGAGTACTGTAGAAAAAATAATTTCGTATAATGTGGGAGAATGGTTGACAAATAGGGGTTAAATTCAATGTAACACATAATAATCAACTTTACAGCACCTGCTTTTTTATACCTTTGATTATTGTTCCTCTGCTGCTACGATTGCTATTGTTATCAAGGGGCAATTCCACGAGCGTGGGGACCACAACATTCACTTTATTATACAGCTTTAGTCTTAAACTTTACAAACGTTCACGATGAAGGTATTTTTGTCAATTTGATCGTTAAAAATCAAAATTTGAGTAAGACGGTTATTTTATCCTTAATTTGATTTATCGGTAAATTGTACATGAGACTTATGTAAACCTTAATTTGATTTATCACTAAATTATCATATAATTATTATGTAATCCCTTATGTAAAACCTTAATGTACATGTAATAAGGTCCTTGATTGATAATTCGTCCCCACCCATCACATATGATGAAATCCGTCCATACCCATCGTCGACCAACATTTCCCACCCAAACGCCCCTGCACCTCCTACGGCATTACAAATCTTCTATTTCCATCAATTCTCCAAATGGGAGAACAAATTATAAATGAACTTTCACTTTCCCAACATTAACAGCCACAATCACCATTTCCACCTTCTCAGTTACAATTTTGACCTTTATCCCAATTCTCAAGTCGCAATTGTTGGGCTGGTGGGAGTTCATTGTTTCGTTGAAGAAATCAATGAAAAATGGAATGGTAATGTTATAGGAGGGTGCATGTATGTGTTGGTGGTTTCAACACTGGTTTGTGAGTATATTAATTGATTGTATGTGACCAGTGGTGGGTGTGGATAGATTTCATCGTCATTGACGAGTGCTAGAGAAATTACAGATTAATTTTTGTGTTCTCTTTGAATTTTATTTTATTATTTTTATTTTATTAAATTTAGGATAGGATGGTCATTTTACTCAATTTATTTACAATATAATGGTAAAAATGATGAGTTCTATCACAAAATGAAGTCAATCGCAAAGTTTTACTGGTTGGGAACACCAGGAGGTAGACACCAAAGGTTCATGATCCATTATCAGAACTTTTAAAAGATACGGAACTCTAAGTGAAATTTTATTTATTTGAATAAATCACATCAAGTGTAAAATGATTACTTTACTCAAATGGGGATCAATCTTAGAATAAAGCCATGCTGCCACATGAATCTTGTCCACCTAGGTGATTGGCCCTCATAGTGGCATGAGATCTGCATCGCCCCATGTGAATAAAAAAATTTTGAATAAAAAAATGTAAAAAAAATGGCACTTCACCCACCCCGATTGTGAGTGTAGATCAACTGAGATGTCAAAATAATTCTGACACCCAAACATGATTGTCAATCTTATTATTTCCGTCATAAAAGGACCTCAAAAGTAAACTCTCATAAAGTTTGAAATCCCAAATGCCAGAAATCAAACATTCGGAACCTTACATTCAATTGACCCAAAAATTATTAGTTAAATTAGACCAAGTTCACAAAAGCAAAACGCCTTTCTGGAATTAAGAAATAAAATTAAAAAATCAAGAAACACAAAGATGAAAAGAATGAATTTCCAATTTTTTCTAAAGGGTAAAGTGCACAGAACATCCTTACTTTTCAATGTCATTGTACAAAATGTTCTCACATTTTCACCTTTATTTCCACATTTCATTACGCAAAAGATCATTTTCATCCATTTTTCCAATAAAAAATCGATTTTACCATACTATTCGAAAAAACTAAAGAAAAAATAAATAAAGAATTAATTGCAACAATAGTCTCAAAATTTAAAAAAATTACAAATTAATCACAAACATATAATTAAAAATCAAAACTACAAAAACAAAAATTTAATCTTCTACAATCTCACATTCTTGCCAATTTTCTATCTGCAAACCCTTTTCTTCATCTTGTACACTTGCATAGTTGCATGCTCTTCATTTGCAAATGTCTTCCCATTTTCCTCGCCTGCGTTGCTTTCTTCATCTAGTAGCCAATAGACAACAGCCAAGTTTCTCCATTCCTCATCATCGGATAAGTGCTAGTGTCCAATGGCGGATTTAAGGGCCCTAGCTGGACTCGCTGGAGAGAATTTTTTTATTTTTTTTTATTCATAATAGATAAAAAGTTTATGTTATATAATTAGTAGTTTATTTTATTTTCAAATCCCTCTTTTGTTAAGTTGGTTAGAGCTTGCATTTTTATATTACAAGTCTTGGTTTCGATTCCTTCCCGTCTATTTCATTGTGCAAAATTTTTATTTCTACAATATTTAGGAAAGGATTCGAAACTAGAACTTCTAATTTGGATGATTGAAAGCTTAACTATCATGGCAATGATTGAATTTTGAATCTAAATTTAAAAAAATAATATATGTTAAGATTTTAGGTGCGTCAATGACTATTTTTTTAATTTTTGGTTGGTTTTTGTTATTTCAAATATTTTATACTTTAATAATTTATAAGATATGACTTATGAGTATTGAGTTTTAATTTATAAGTTATTTGAGAATTTGTCTACTATGAATTGTGATATTAAAAATTAATTTGAGTATCGTGAAATGTGAATATGTGATTTATGAAAATTGAAAATGAGAAATTTGGGAATTTATAATTTGTGATGAATTGGTGTTGAGAATTGGAAATTGAAACTTTAATTATATTTTAAAATTAATTTTAATTACATTTAATCTTTGATTAATGTTCAATTCTCATACTGATTATGGAACGATTTTTTCAACTGAATCTCAATCTAGTTCTTGTAGTGGTGTATCTAATCTCTCAACTACTTTTAGTCAAGCAAACGATTTGTTAAGCATTGAAAACACAAAGAAATTTATATATTATGTAATTTATATTATTTCGGATTATATTGAAATATAATATAATATAAATATACGTTTTTTACATTTTAGTGTATTTACATATAGATCGAAGAATTTTTAATAGTATTTTATTTAATATTAATAAACGATATCGTTATACGGTCGTTGACTATCGATAGTCAACGGCCAACGATCAACGTCCGTTCTAGTTGAGTCGAAGTCCTAGATTCGCCCCTGCTCGTGTCGTACCAAATATTTTTTTAAGTTCAACTCGCAGGCTGCGAAAGGGCTAATAGCAAATTATAATTAATAATCAAGAAAGATACGCTTTTCTTCTTTGGCCATGTCCTATTTTTCAATGCAGACTTCTTCGTAGACACTATCATCTGGCCTGGACATCAATAGGTGATTGGCCTATTGTTGCAACTAAAAAATAAATTAATTATTCAAGAGGATGAATGATTTATTTTTATTTTTATTTTTAATTATATATTTGTGATTAATTTGTAATTTTTGAAAATTTAAGTTTATTATTGCAATTAATTCTTTAGCATTTCATTTTATTTTTGTTTTTGTTTTTGTTTTTGTTTTATTTGAATAGGAGGATAAAATGGTCTTTTCATTAGAAAAATAGATGAAAATAATCATTTGGGTAGTGGAAGGTAGAAATAGGGGTGAAAATGTTAAAAATTGAAATGAAGGCGCATTTTGTACATTGAAAAGTAGAGTGTTTTGTACCATTTATTTTATTCTTTCTAAAATAATAATGTTATATGTACAATTAGAATTGACAACCTCAATTTACAACCACACATGAGAGAAAGCTCACTTTGAATAAAGAAATCGTGAATCTGTACCATGAGTAAGTTGTCATTCCTGTCGTACAACTAGAATAATTCTTTATCAAATTACATTGGGGAAAGAAACAAAGACAAAGTCGGTTCTGACGTTGGTGACTTCGTCTTCCTGACACGTCATCTGCTTTCACATGTGAACTCGAAATTCTTTGAATTTACGGTTTTACCATCCACGTCACACGCCTCTCCCAAAACCCTAAATTCCCGACCCAGAATTGCAGTTCCAAGAAGATCCTCATGATCCACGCTGCATATATCGCCACGTACACAACACATCCATCCTCAGCGTCCATGCCAGGATGTCACGGTCAACCTTTCAAGCCAGCAGACAGATTTATCACCACCCTTCGATCAACAAAACAAATTTATCAACGGTCCTAATTCTGCCCGTATTTTTCACGGGCAGATCTCATCGCCTTTAAGAAGCCTAGCCCTCGTCATCTAATCCTCGCCCAATTCCTTCAAACACTAGCTCAATCATAAATACTGCCCCGTTTTATTTTTCCACAAATAATAGCCTGCAGGCGATCGGAATACTTTTTTGGGGGAAGATTTTGGTGAGCGCTTTGCCATAAGTGAAAAATCAGTTGAATAAAATTATACATGTTTTTGGATCGGAGATTTGCCGGAGCTGAGGTGAGCCCTGCCGGTGCTATTCATGGCATATGCTGTCTTGGCTAGCCAGAATGAATCGAGCTGGGTACATATGGGGAAAATTCCTTACTCAAATCCTCACTTGAAATCAAACCCTAACCCTAACCCAAAGAAAAAGCAAAAGCAATTCCACAATTCAAGCAGTAATGAAGGCGGCCGGTGCAACGATGATTTTCCTGCTGCAACGCAGGCCGACGATGCCTATTCATTCAATCAGACGACTGCGGCGGCGCGTAGTGGATTCAACCACGGTGGGTATCTAACCTACGACGTTGCCTCGTACACAAAATCCGAGCTTTTGGAGTTCCGTAAACGCTTGGCCGCTGAGCTTGAACAGATCAAGAACCTGAGGGTTCAAATCGATTCTGGTCAATTGAACTTCAACAGTAGCAGTAACAATCCTAGGTCTCAAGGGAAGCCAAAGAAATTATCTGGTAACAAACGGCCTGGAGCTCCAGTTGGATCTCATAAGGAGTCAAAGAAACTATGCAATGGATTTCTTGATAATGGAAATTTAGGGGTGGAAAGCGCAATCGATTGTGGGGCTATGTTGAAGGAATGCAGGCTGATTTTGACGAAATTGATGAAGCACAAGAACGGGTGGATATTCAATAAACCTGTTGATGCTGCTACTCTGGGGCTTCACGATTATCATCAAATTGTGAAGCGGCCGATGGATCTGGGGACCGTAAAGTCGAATCTAACAAAGAATCTGTATTCTCATCCTTCTGAATTTGCTGCTGATGTGAGGCTGACTTTTAATAATGCCTTACTGTACAATCCAAAAACTGACCAGGTTCACGGCATGGCAGAGCAGCTATTAGCGAGTTTCGAGAAATTGTTTAGTCCAATTCAGGAGAAGATTGATAGTTGTAATACTCAGCGAAGAGAAAGGGAGCTTCGAGAATTTTGGGATAACGATGAATTGCAAGGGAATCAGTGGAATAATCCTAGACAGATTATGGCTTCATCCCCCGGAAGGGGAGGAAAGAAATGTAAGCCAAAATTGAGCCCGATTCCAGTTCCTCAGCCTTCAAAGAAGCCGGAGAAAGTGCAGGTGCAAAATCATTCTAGCATTGAAATGCCTCCCGCCCCTCAGCCTCCGCCACTGAGTCATCCAGTACATGCACAAACTCCTTCTCCTGTCAGTGCTCCATTGCCTGCGAAGGAACAAAAAGTTGGGAGGGTAGGGATGGTGAAGCAGCCAAAACCGAGGGCAAAGGATCCGAATAAGAGGGAGATGAGTATGGAGGAGAAGCATAAACTTGGTAGTGGGCTACAGAGTTTGCCTCAGGAGAAGATGCCACAATTGGTTCAGATTATAAGGAAAAGGAATAAGCATTTGGGGCAAGATGGTGATGAAATTGAGCTTGACATAGAGGCCCTTGATACTGAGACTCTTTGGGAATTGGATCGGTTTGTGACCAATTGGAAGAAAATGGTGAGCAAGACTAAACGACAAGCATTGATGAACAACAATCACGCTGCTGAAGCTACTGCTCCAACCACGCACAATGTGGAGGACGACATGGTACTGCTTAATTCAACAATGTCAATACAGTTAGTTACACACAATTCTTTCAATATACTTCAAGTATACTATTTATTTAAACTTTTTTTTGCCATAAGAACAAATCTCAATCCCAAATAGTTATCAGTCAACACTGCAACCTTTCAGTTTAAGGTGTCAACCTTTATGCATTGATTGTGAACAATTTTATGTATAATCAAAATGTAAGTAAAGCGCTTTTTTCCCATGCAAGCACTCAACTTATATTGTTACAAGTGATCATTGTTACTCTTAATATCAAATAATGCAATAACAATAAATAAATAAAAACAAAGTTTATTTATTAACAAAATGGATGATTGCAGCAGAGACCCCAAACCTTTCAAAAAGTTGCAGACTGTCCTCTAACCTTTCATTTGTTGCAGTTGTCACTTCAAACCTTTTAAAATATTGCATCTGGAGCCATTTTGGATGGAATTCATCCAATTTACCGTTAGTTGACGTAAAAAAGTGACTTTGACCCAAAAAATTAATTTTGATCATAGTTTACTCAAATTTAAAAGGGCAAAATAGTAATTTAATCTTTTTTTCCATAAAAAACCAACGACTCTGATTGTATGGTGGTGTTGGCGCCGCCGCGTTGGGGCTGATGGTTGTGGCTTATAGTGGTGGTGCTGTGTGTTACAAATGATATGGACGGCGATGGAAGTGTAATACGAGTTGCATGTGGGAATTTCACCAAATTCAACGAAAAAAGGAATCTTGAATTTTCCAAAATTACCAAATATGAAATTTCACCAAATTCGACACTAGAAAGAATATATATATATATAGAGAAATTGAGTAGCAAAAACTTCAATTGCAACTAAGGTCGAAGTTCAAAATAGACCTCGACAGTTCATTCTTACACAGAAAAATTCGCATCAACGATCTGAACCGAGAAACATGGAGAGAATGAAAGTGAGAAAAAGGGAATCTTGAATTTTTGTACGAGTTGATATTGAATTTTGAGTTCTTTTGAGTGTCTGATATTTTTGTAATTCTAGGTTCTTTTTTGCAAAGAACAATTGGTTTCCAATATTTCATATTTTCGATTTCGAAATGGGAAAAATCAACTGTAACTAGGGACGTCACCAAGCCGCCCGTCGCTCGGCCCGCGAAAATCCCAAGACGGCTTGGCTCGGGGCTCGGTCAAGGCTCAAGCCGAGCCCCATTTTTGGGACACGGGCTTCGAGCCTTTATTAATAATAATAAAAAAAAAAGGTAGCAGTTCGCCGCCTTAAAAGGCCGTAAACTGCTGCCTTAAAATAAAAAAAGCAGAGAGTTCAGCTCGAGCCTCAAGTTTCGGCTTGCGAGCCGGCTTGACTCGGTTCGTTGACATCCCTAACTGTAACTCCTTGTATACGTGTGCTTCTGATCTCAAGGTAGGGTTTCAATGGCAGAACTGTAGGGATGGGGGTGGGTTGAGGAAGAAGAAGATAGTTTTTCTTTTCTTAGTTGTTTTTTATTAAAGGTTTATATGGGAAAAAGACTAAATTACTATTTTGCCATTTTAAAATTGAGTAAACTGTGGTTAAAATTAATTTTTTGGGTCAAAATCATTTTTTTAAGTCTACTAAAAAAATTGGACGGATTCCATCCAAAAGGGTTTCAGATACAACGTTTTAAAAGGTTGGGGGTGACGGCTGCTGTAACGACTCGGGTCTCTGTACTCAAATCGTTAGCTTACGTACTGTCCGTTTTGGGTGGGTCTTGCGTCCACTTATCCCTTACGGCTTTCTGTGCGTCCCTCAGGATTCGAACTCATAACCTTTCCCTTAAGTGAGGGATGCGTGCATTTTTTTTTAACGACTCAGATCTTTATACCGAAACTGTTAGCTTACGTACTGTTCGCTTTAGGTGGGCCTTGCGCCTACTTACCTCTTATGATTTTCTGTCGCGTTCCCCAGGATTTGAACTCATAACCTTCCCCTTAAATAAGACTTAAGTTGAATCTTAGTACCAATTAGGCAGCGGACAGTACGTAAGCTAACGGTTTCGGTACAGAGACCCAGGTCGTTACAAAAAAATTTTACTAGGATTCAACTTAAGTCTTACTTAAGGGGAAGGTTACGAGTTCGAATTCTGAGGGACGCGACAGAAAGCCGTGAGAGGTAAGTAGGCGCAAGACCCACTCAAAGCGGACAGTACGTAAGCTAACGGCTTAGGTACAAAGACCCAAATCGTTACAAAAAAACGCAACTTATCCAATTGGTACCAAGATTCAATTTAAATCTTACTTAAGGGAAAGGTTATGAGTTCAAATCCTAGGGGACGCGATAGAAAATCGTGAGGGGTAAGTAGATGCAAAGTCCACCCAAAGCGAACAGTACATAAGCTAACGGCTTGGGTACAAAGACCCTGGTCGTTACAGCTGCAACAAATAAAATATTAGGAGAAAGTCGGCTAGTGTTTAAAAAGTTTGAAGTTTCTGCTACAATTATCCCTAAAATATATTTTTACGAAGTTCAAAGAGTTAAAATAGATGACATCTTTATTCCAATTGGACATTTTAGGTTGATCATTGGTTTGAACAAATTAATTGTATTCTTGATTCGTGGAAAAATTTTAAAATTTCTTAATCACGTTATATATTATGCTCTTTTGAGTCATGACATTGAAAGAGATATTTCGAAAAGTGGGACTCTTCATATAGTCACGATTTTAGAATTTTCCATGAGGTCAAGAATGCAATCAATTTGTTCCAGTCAGTATTCACATTTAGAGAATATGTTGAAGTCACGTTTGTAATAGTATACAAAAGAATAGGTACCAAAATTGGACTGACTAAAATATAACTCAAATAGGTAAATTTAGAAACAATGAAACTTTAAATTACACAATAGAAGGGTTGAAATGGGCATCAAAACAATTGTAAATTAAGAAGGCAGAAATTTTTTTGTTGGGGGGGGGGGGGGGGGGGGGGGCAGG